TAGATACACAGACAGATAGACAGACAGATAGATAGATAGATAGACAGATAGATAGATACACAGATAGACAGATAGATAAATAGATAGATATATATAGATAGATAGTCAGATAGATAAATAGATAGATAGATAGTCATATATATATATAGATAGATGATAGATAGACAGACAGACAGACAGACAGACAGACAGACATCCCGTCACAGACTCACAGCTAGTGTTGTTCTCACAGAATGAAACACTGAACGCCATCGACACGAGCTTTCAGAAGATAGCGACACGAGCTTTCAGAAGATAGCGACACGAGCGACTGAATGAAGCGCATCCGAGAACTGAAGCGTCACATCCTTTGTGCCAGCCATCATCTGCGCGGCGGTGTGCCTGTGAATATGTGCGGCAGATTATCACTCATTGTGCCCTACGTGTAAATGCTGACGCTCATTCGGGCGTCCATCATTCAGCAGCGAGAGAAAGCGGAACGGGAGAAGCGCGCGTTTGCGTTATTCCACCAAGCCGCGGCTTTATTGAAACATGTAGCGAGCACGCATTAGTGACGTCGCCGCCGCACATCGCGTTACGTCACATGCTGGTAAATCCGTCTCGTCTCGTCGTGCGCCGAATGGATTGCGACCGGCTTGCTAATAAAGCGGGACGCGGTCGGCGCGCGCTTGTGGAATGACACTGTCGCGCGACAGCCATCCGTCCATCCGCGCAGCAGCTGATGTTTGATGGACACCGAGCGCGGAGCGGCTTGATTTCTCAGCCGTGAAGGATGAAAAACCACGAGTATCAGCAAATAGACCCTCAGGCACTCGTGACTCCTACCCCGACGCCTCCACCGCGACCTCTTCCCGAGCACAAGCCCAGACGAGCCCGGAGGAGATGGGAGGTGTTTCCCGGGAAGAACCGCTTCTGCTGTGACGGTCGCATGATCGCGGCGCGTCAGAGCGGCGTGCTGCCGCTCACACTGGGACTCATCCTGCTCACCAGCGGACTCTTCTTCATATTCGAGTAAGTCCGCGGGGCTTAGAGAGCATCTAAGCAAGAAGTGCTGTCGGAAAGCATGAGGCACGCCACAGTGTAGGCCTAGGAAAGACGGGTGCATCTCAGGTTATAAGTAAAAATAAATAAAATCCCCGTGCACGACTAATTGCACACCTGCTTCCAAATGCCCTTGAATTGGGACGTGTTTGTTAATTAAAGCTAGCTGACATATTAAAAGGACAGTTCTCGCACTCGAGAAAATTGTCATAATTTGTTCATCCTCATGTCGTTATGAAACTGCATGACTTTCGTGTGTGTAACAAAGATTTGTCTGTCTGTCAAAATCTGTTTGGTTGCCAACCGTGCTGGGAAGGTTACTTACTGATTACAAATTGCATGACACAGTTGTAACGTAATGCCTATAAGATAGTACTTTATGATTACTATTAGATTACCTTTGACTTTTTAAAATTTGAAAGATGCAATCATTTATTGAATTTTGAATTATTTGAATATTCGAATTATTTTGAATAATTTATTGCCATGTGTGAATATGTTATCATGTAAATACGAGTATGTTATGTAATATAATCTAATTTCAGCCATTGACTACTGTCTTGATTATGTAACCCAGATTACATGTGATCGGTAACTACCCAGCACACGTAATGCCTATAAGATAGTAATTTATGATTACTATTAGATTACCTTTGACTTTTTAAAATTTGAAAGATGCAATCATTTATTGAATTTGAATTATTTGAATATTCGAATTATTTTGAATAATTTATTGCCATGTGTGAATATGTTATCATGTAAATACGAGTATGTTATGTAATATAATCTAATTTCAGCCATTGACTACTGTCTTGATTATGTAACCCAGATTACATGTGATCGGTAACTACCCAGCACTGGTTACCAACATTCTTCAAGAAATCTTGTTTTGTGTTCACAGAAGAAAGAAATGGAAATAGAAATTTTCATTTTTTTTAAGTCAAGCATAAACTACATAATGAAGATAATGTTGAACTGCAACTGCAAGATAAACAGTAGGTTTCCATTGTGACAACTTACCCCCTTCATGTGACCGCATGCTTCCATAGCAATATAGTCTCCCAAAATAGCTTATGTCTGTGTTATAAGAGCTCGTTAGCCTGTCTGCAATTGTTTCATTTATAATAATAACTAACTGGAAATATTCCGTAGGCAAGATTAATACTGAGAATGAACTCTTGAGAAATATTCACTGGAGCAAAATGTGTCTCCCTCTTCTAATTCATGCAGTAATTGAGATTGTAGTATGAATCTGCATGTGAAATGTAGTGTCTCTCTCAGGACATTATTTGTACTGAAGCCACTTTTAAGGACTTAATTAATGATGTATGGTTACTTAAAAGTGGCTCTTAATTTTGGTGTTAATCATACCCCTCATTTTAAAGCTTTTCCCTGTGGATGCCACACATTAAATAGAGATTGAGTTTGATTCTAGAGTTCAAATCTTTATATTATTGCATTAGCAATCAGTTCTTGTGCGGATTCTCTTTATAGGGCGTTTGTTTAGCGTTAGACATCAGAATCTGCAGAGCTGCAGGGAATGGAACCGTTTAATGGAGCAGCGCAGTATTTTAAAGCCTTCTTGTTCCACAATCAATGTTTTCCTAATTGAGGCGTTGTGTGGTTCCAGCTGCCCGTTCCTGGTGAAGCACCTCACCAGCTGCATCCCGGCCATCGGAGGGGTCCTGTTTGTGTTTGTGATCATCTCTCTCCTCCAGACCAGCTTCACGGATCCGGGGATTCTGCCCCGGGCCACACCAGAGGAGGCCGCAGACATTGAGAAACAGATCGGTGAGGGAGCACACATCTCGTCCAGATAAATAGTGCACTGCTCACTGCGTAATGCACTGTACACTCTTAAAAATAAAGGTTCTTTATTGGCATCTATGGTTGCACGAAGAACTTTGAACATCCATGGAACCTTTTCATTCCACAAAAGGTTCTTTATATTTAGATTATTAGAATGTTCTTCACACTAAGAAAAATGTTTCACTGAAAGGTTCTTTAAGGGAACCAAAAATGGTGACCCATACTTGGAATTAGTGCTCTGCATTTAACCCATCCTTAGTGCACACACACAGCAGTGAACACACACACACTGTGAACACACACCCGGAGCAGTGGGCAGCCATTTTTTTGCTGCGGCGCCCGGGGAGCAGTTGGGGGTTCGGTGACTTCCTCAAGGGCACCTGTACATTCACTCCCCCCACCTACAATCCCTGCCGGTACGAGACTCGAACCCGCAGCCTTTGGGTTACGAGTCCGACTCTCTAACCATTAGGCCACGACTTCCCCAGGGAAGGAGTGTATATGCTGTATACTGCATACTATTTCAGTTGTCATCTACCGAGATAAATTGGATTACTTTGCATTTTTAATCTAAGATTGGCCAAAATGTCTTTTGATAGCTGATTATATAATGAGCTAAGAATGAGTCGTCTGATGTTGCTTCTGGTTCATTCGTCACTCTGGATATGTAAGGTCAAGTCTAGGGCATTGCATTATGGGATAGAGGGCTCAGTGCAGTGTGCTCTGTTGCTGCTACATTTTGGCGAATATATAAGGTCCTCCATATTCATGCATACAGATATAGATAAAGACTGTATACGTGCTTTACAGGCTATTGCAGAAAGGAAAGAGAAAATCACATTATTCCAAATTTACAACTTAAAAACTGAAATGGAAAACAATTCTTATTAATTAAATTAAGTTGTTAAACTACAATGTACAAAAAGTATTCGTGCTGCCTTAAAATGTTAAATACAGAGTTCTGGCATGAAACTCTAGATGGCGCAGTCCGATAGGTCTAACTCAATCTGACCTAATGACATCATTATCACATGGCACAGCTGATTGGTTCTCTCCTGTATCGGTAGCCAATGAGCTAGCTGCTCAACATTCAAAAATATGACTGGTGCTTGCTTCAGCTTGCAGCTTGCTTCAGAAACCCTCCACCTTCCCCAGCTCCACCTGTATAGATCTGCTACGAGGTGATTCATTTATGCTATATGGGGGTTATTTCAGGTATAAACCTGGCATTGTGTGCTATGAATATTGTTGGTTCTTTGACGAATTGTTTTGTTCCTCTGTTGTAAGTGGCTTTAAAGGGTTAGTTCACCCCAAAATGCTCAGACCCTGCATAGACAGCAACGCAACTGTAATGTTCCCAGGTCCAGAAACGTGTAAGGACATCGGTAAAACAGTCCATGTGACATCAGTGGCTCAACTTCAGTTTTGCAAAGCTACGAGAATACTTTTTGTGCGCAAAGAAAACAAAAATAACAATTTATTGAGAATACTTTTTGAGCGCAAAGAAAAAAAAAATTTTTTTTTTTCAATAATTCTTCTCCCCCGAGTTACGTCTTCCACCATTTTAGAGAGTACTCAAGAGCGTAATGGACATAATCAGCGTTGTTTATGTTTGGGGGAGAAAGCGCCGCGCATGAACATAATCTGCGTAATCAGTAGGGGTGCTCCGATTGATCGGCTGATAATCACGTTGGGATGATTGATCGGCGGTCTCTAAAAAGGCCGATCTC